ACATTCTGACCTAGTTCCTACTTTGCGTAGAACTACTGAAAAATTGTTTCTGTAACCATGCAAAAAATATTGGAAAGGTGTTTTAGAGGGCTCTGCTTTTATTTTACTTTTTAAACTAGGACTTTTTTTTTTTTTAAATTTTCCCTGCCTATAAATCCAGCTGCCTTAGTTACCACTAGTCTAACTCAGAGGGAGACAGAAAATCCTTTAAAAAATTACCTAAAGCAGCTTTGTTAAATACCTAAAAATATTAAGACTTAAGAGTTTTTAAATCCTGAACATGGCACTGGGATTCTATCCACAGAAATGGCAAAGCGCTCACATTTGCGGCACAGCCTATCCCAACGTATCAGTTCCTCTGCATCTGGCATACTATGCTGCCCACTCTGCATGTCAGGGCAACGTTATTCCAAAGTAGAAAACCCTCTTTTGTCTGGTTGATTTTTAAAAAACTGCCAAGTGCTACACAAACCTGTTCAAAAAAGCAGAATTTCAGCAGTAGTCTTGAAGAGGAAGTGTGTGTGCACAGCACACAGGCAAAGCAATCAACATCTCAGGACAAATACAGTCCCCCTGTACAGCTGTAGATGTACAGCATGGTGAAGACACTTTCCTGGACCAGCTGCTGTACATATTTTAATTGCAATACACTACCAAAAGCAAAACAGAAGGGGGAAAGAGAAATTAAGATGAAGAACATTAAAAAAAGAGGGGGCTGGGTTATAACCCAGAAGGAGACGGCTCTCCTCCACCGTGCCACAGCAGAGACTGGGTAGACTAGAGAAAGGATAGCAAAAGAGAGACACGAAGCCGATAGAGCAGCCACAAAAAGTGAAGTTTAAAAGCAAGCATTCAGAAGTATGCGCCCTTTCAAACAAGGCAGGAGCCATGTCTTGAAAGCGACAGCAAAGTGCATTTCTCGAGGACAAACTGACCACATGAGCCAATTACAGTTCCCACAGATGCAAGCATATGCCACCATATATTACATATCTGTCCCTGGTGTTAGCTAGAAGAATCCTCTTCCACGAATCCTTTTTCCTTTCCTCTTTGCAAACATCAGCACTTTTTCCTCACCACCACACCCTTTGCTTCCTTGGTGGTTAATAGTTTCTCATCTGGGGTTGGCAGGGGGTGTTTGGAAAGACTGCAGGCAGAAAAATCATCCAGGAAAAGGATTCCTCCTCTGCACGTTATTATAAGCTTGCTGGAAGCCAAACAATTAAGCCAATTGTTTTCTCTCTCTCTCTCATTTAGATATTTTGTACACACACAAACTTTCTGCTGCTCTACTGACCCCTGCTCTCCATCAATGCCACACAAACGTCACCAACAGTCAGCCTGCCAGCTCCGTCCAGCTAATCTCAGGCAACGAGTGCAGTAACTCTCATCTACCACATGTAAAACAAATTCTCATTACAGAGAATTAAATTAGCATTAGAGTCATGACTGATGGCCGTACTAGAACGTTAACTCTTCCTAGCCATAAAAGGTAGCACGTTTTGATCAAGCAGATACTTCCTTTGCTATTACTGCTGCTCTGAAAGACCATCCTGGCACTCCTGCGGGGCTCTCAACCCGTCTTACGGATACAATACTCCAGCTGTAAAATGGAAGATTTGCAACCGGGCAAAGAAAAACTCAGCAAGTTTATTCAAGGTGACACACAGTTCAGGAGTCACACATCCCTCTCTGCCTTGCTACAGACAAGCCACTCCAGCCCTGAACAAACACAGAAAGTTTCCCCTGCACCCAGGCCTTCTCCAGCTAGCCCACCTGGATGTCACCAGCCTAGCGTTTGGACAATCCCCCTGTCACGAGGGAAGGGGACAGGAGCGCTACACACGCACATACCTCCCCTTCGGGCAGGAGGTCTGCAGCCAAGAGCCCTTTGTTTCGCCCCCAGCTCAGGGGAAACGTATGCGGGGGGAGAACAGAGCTCGGGGCTGCGACTCCTGCCTCGCGTGACCTTGGAGCCCAGTCCCTTCACCTCTCTGCTCCCAACCTCCACGCGGCCGAGGGTTAATCAGCTAATTGTTTGTGAGGCAGTTTGAGACCTCCACTTTAAAGAGGAGATATAAAAGCCAATTATTTTAGTCATCTGTTCAGATTGGGAAAGGTATTTGATAACGTAATACAAAGGTGGCAAACAGAGCTTTTATGTTATCCCAAGGGTTCCTGCTGTCCATTTGGTGCCAACACTTTCTCAGCAGGAGGCTTACAAGGCTATTTTATATATAAAGAGCAAACCATCCCCTTGGAGAAATGCTTCTGAATCACAACCACGATGCAGGCAGCTCCCTCTGCAGCATCAAATCCTGCATATAAAACACGCAGCTAAACATCCTCCCCTGGGGAGCAGCGAGTTTGAGTGTTACCGGGAGCAGCTGCTCTAGAGAGGGAACATTTACAAGTGTGGGGGGTTAAGTACAACTAACAGGAGTCAAGGGATGGTAGCTTTAGGTCAGAGAGCGTGCGCTTTAACAGGAGGCCTCGGAGGGGAGAGTTAGTGCTACAGGGAGATAAACGCTTGCTTGATTTATTTTAAAAATTAATTTGATGGCCCCGTGCTGCCTTGAGACAAATGAGCACCTGCCTCTTCTGCTCTAGCACAGCCAACCTCTCTGCTCTGCTTGCTCTCCTCTGAGCAACTGGGCTCTGGCTTTCCCTTTAGGCAGGGAGGAAGAGGATTTTAAACTCGAAAGATTTCTACCCCAGAGGGCTAACAGAGGGGGAAGGGGGGGGGGAACGCAAAAGAGGAGTCCCCAGCCACTAACGCAGCTCTGTATTTGCTCCCTGCTCACAGCAGGTCTGAAATCCCCCTTAGCTATGATTCTCCCCCCCCCATCCCTACCCCTCCCCAAACCAATTTGAATAGGAAATGAAGTGTGGCTCCGTGGAGACAATGGTTTATTGTAAAGTTTTTGCTGCGACACACAGTATAAAAACCTGCCAAGACACATGTAAACATTCGCAACTGCCAGGCTCCTCCGTAATGAAAAGCTATAAAGAACACCCAGGTGGGAAGCACAATACTACCAGCTAATTAAAGTAACCAATAATATTCCTCCCAGGAATGCAAGAGTGTGTTCCGCTCAGTGGGAGAAGGCACTTCTAAGCCCATGAACTCGGCTTCCTGGTGAAGATCTTTAAAAAAAAAAAAACAAAAAAAACCACTCACCCCCCCACAAAAACACACACACACACAAAGAGGCAGCACTGCTAGGGCCAGCAGTGCTGCTGGACACCGCTCTGCAGAAATCACAAGGCCAGAGTTTGTAGGTTAACACAAAAAGCGGAGTGTCAGGCAATCTGGAGACTAGAGCCAGCACTGCCATGTACTCATGACCTTGGGCAAGTCATTTTCCCCACTGGTAGGTCTCCATCTGTACAACAGGGAGCAGTTCATTAGTATACAGTGAGCTGCACTCGTTTGTGAGCTGCTTGGGGGAGATCAAACCTTGTACTTCAATGGTTTCAGATTTTTGCCATATGCAGGGGCCACAAAGAGTAATTCTGGGAACCCCACTCCTCCTTCCAGAAGGCCCGGTCTTATTAAGCTGCAGCCACACAATCCTACCCAGAGAAGGCCGAGGCCATAAACATTGACAAGGCATATATTCCTCCTGAAAAATGGGAGCTCCTAGTGACAGGGTTAATGATGTTTGAGCAGCCTCTCACCCTGAGCTCCACATATCCCAGCTTTAATGCACTGGCCTCCTTCCCCCACCCCCAAAGGGACAGGAGAGGGAAGGGGGGGGAACAGCGACCTCCAATGCCAGATATTTTCTACATCAGTGAATTCCCAGGGCCAGCAGAATAAAGCAGAACACTCATACATGGAGAAACAGGCAGCAAAAAAGGTCAAATCCATCCCCCCAAGGAGGAAAGGGGCTTATTTCACAGGGATGGAGGGAAGACAAACCTCCCTTAGCTCTTACCCTTTTTCAGATGGAGAGGAGAGGTCTCCATGCCAACATTATCCAGCTGTTATAACTGGACAATTCCTTTTCACTCCCCACTCTTTCTGAGCAGCGCTGCAGCATGAGACTTGTCAAAGCCCAGAGGAGGAAAAGGCTATTTTTGTGTACAGGATGTTGTATTAATTTCAGAGTACATATTTATCCTTTCCTCTCCGGGGGGATCTGCTTTCCCCAAACATACTAAATTCATCTTCTCCCCAGTTTGCTACAGAACGCGTTTAGGCAAGGGATTATCACACTGGTAAGTACACTACTCTCCTGCACGCTTTTCCCTCCAAGCGCTTCCTGCCGCCTTCCCAGCGCATTCAGTGCCCCTCAGCTAAGAGGAGCCCACCCTTCCAGCTGGAGATGAAGGGTCGCTTCATCTGCTACTTTACCAGACAGACCCCAGTGAGTCAGCTCCAACACTCAGAAGGTGTGAACTAAATCAATTGCTACATATGAAGACCAGAAGAAGGGGAACACCCAGAAGCTTGTGTATTTTTCACCCATGGGTAAAATAAGTAGCTTTAAGACTAAATTCATCCCTCTACAAAGCTCATCTCATTTGTACTTCAAAGAGTTATTTCCTACCAGGGAGCTCCGGACTCCTCGTCTTCAGAGAGCTCATTACCTTGGTCCTTACAGACTTGGCTTCTACCCCAATCAGAAATGGGCACTCATACAGCACAAGTCAAATGCCTGAAAAAAAACCAATTATACAACCCACTACATGATCTCTCTTTGCTTGTTAAAATTCGGATGAACAATCTTAAAATGCAACACCTCTATTTATCAGTCATAGCTTTCTCAAAACCATAGAGAAGTCACACACACACAAAACAAATAAACAGAAGGAAAGATGAAGGAAACAATGCTGATGAGACTCCCCTGAGGTCCGGAGCCCACGCCACTGCATTAATAAGATGTAAAATCTCAAGCAGCAAGAAGGTTTTGAACAGTCACTGTATGCTAGGAGCTGGAGCACTGGGCTAATCTGGAGGTGCAAAGAGTATCCTGGAGGCCAATGCACCTTACCTTCTTGGAGAGCGAAGAGACATTCAACCCAAATCTTTGAGCCCTTTCCTTTAATTTATCCATGTTTACCTATAAAGACATAGGAAACAATTTATTTTTTTTTTTTAAATCATCATCACTCAAATTGCAGGAATAGGGAGAACGCCACTTCCTGAAAAAGTCTCCCAGAACACAGACCTGTGCCCTCTGATCAGCTTGTGGAAAACCTGTCCCAGTGACGCTCCTCTCAGCACTGTGTTCCACTAACACTCAGCAGCAACAACTCATGTTAGCACTGAAGGGAAGCTGGGCCACAAAACAGGAGCCAGTATCCCAAATGAAACAGCCAAAGGCTGCTAGAGCGCTCCTTAGCTTCATCAAAACAAGCAAGGGAGAAATATGACCGGTTATGTTCTCCGTCTTGAAGGAGCAGTAGGGTCAGACTGTTACCATAAGTCAGCTGCCCCGGTACTTTTCCTGTAGCAGTCTGTTCTGGTCAACACAAACAGAAAACAGCCTCTCAGGCAAACCTGCCAAGACTCCTAATAATTATCACGTCTATCTGGCTGCCATAGGTTTAAGAAACCACTGTTGCACCCTCACTCTTCCCAAACTGCTATGTCACATCTAGTCAGGCCCTCCAACCAAGCAATATTCCAACATATCACCCACCCTAACTGAAATTTCCTAGAGGAGCACTAGCCACCATTATGGCACTTATCCCTAATGAAACAGGGGAACAGATGTGCAGAAAGAGATCTTCTGCAGGATGCAGTTCCACAGAGGAAAACTTGGTGCAATCACGTTTCTCAGGTGTTCATGCAAAGTCTTTAAGCCCTTGGCACAAAAGAAACCTAAAGTCTACTCTAGTGACAGATCTTGCCTTGGATTAACTTTGTCACATCTTCCACTCATCCTTCTTTACAACCAAGCATACAAGTATTAAGCCAGTTGCCCAGAGTGCTCACAGCTCTCAGCCCTGCATGCTTTGATGCTTCCTATTTAGACTTGGAAATCAGACAGGCAAGGCAACATTGGCCATTAGAAGCAGAGAATAATTTACTACAGGTCATTCATAATTTCCATTCCTGAAGCATAATTCAAGCAATTCAGACAAAGGCAGAGAATGAAAAACAGGCACATGAAACAGAAATCAAATACCCATCTTTGTTCCTTTCAACATTTCCTTCTAAAATCAGCTTATCTGAGAAAATGGTACGTCACAAGAGGCAGCCAAACACTATAAAGGGATAGAAACCTATCAAATTCAGTGCAAGCGTAACATCAAGGTGGCCTACTTCATTAAATTCTCATCCCACATATGTCTTCCTCCGACCATTTTGATAAGTTTATGGTTTACCCAAGCAGGTAGGAAATTACAACTTGTGTTAAGGGCCTGAACAACAACAGTTTATGAGCGAGAAGCATGTCTTACCGTAGGTTTGCTGTCTGCAGAGAGGCCTGAAACAAGGAGGTGAGGGGAAAAAAAAAAGTTAGAAAAAAACCATCAAGAGCAGACTCTCATGTGAAGAGAGATGCAGCCAAGTCACAGCACTGCTAGAAGGCGGCACACACCCGTTTGTTCAACAACTAGTGAAGAACTGCTGTCCCATTTTTCCCAGCTTTACCTCTGCTCACTACAGAAATTGTCTCCTAATTTTTTCCACCTCCTAGTCAGCTTCTCCACCTGTAAAACTGCTGCCATCTCACCTTGCTAAGAGAGTTTTGAAAGTTAAACCTGGCATTTTTAAAGAAGTTGAAGAACGTTTGGTGCTCAGTGTTCAGGGGTACCATTCCAAAATCTGGCCAGAATCTTCCACTTGTGCTTAGAAGTAAGAGGCACTGAGAAAAGTGTCTAAACCACCAGGGGAAATGATATTTGACCTTTTCACCCCAACTCTACAACCTCCTGCTCAGAACTTCTGGGCACAGTTGGGAAAAGGGACAGAAGTTTAAACAAAAATAGTCCCACCAGTGATTTTTTTCCCCCAGAAATAATTAAATATTTGCAGTAAGGTCACTCCATGAATTGGCTTTGCTTTGCCTCCTCACCTTTAGTCGAAACTGTGGCCATACCAAACCTGTAGAAAGTAAACAAAGCTTTGTCAGAGACTCAGGCAAATATAAGGTAAGAAAGTAGCTGATATGTCAAGTCTTAAAGTTGATAAAATGTGACCTTTTCCTTCAAATACTTTTCATAAGTGTACTTGACGCAAACTTTTTCAGGCAAGATTAACTGGAATTCAGTATTGCCAACTAGCATAACTACTGCAGCAAGTCCTACGTTTACTCTGCAAACAGCAATTGCTCACTTCATAAAAGCGACCTCAAAGTCCAGAAAAACTTGTTGGATTTACAAATGCACAATTAACCACTTTTCCCTTTCACTACTCTGTATTTCCAGAATACTTCACTGGTATTTTATCCCCAACAACCAGTAAAGCATAGCTCTTGTACTCCGCAAATAGACACAGCCCAACTTCATAAGCAGGTCTCCTGCCTCATGAGGAACACTACCTTACTAAAGGCCTGTTCAGGGTTTGCAGGTGCTTGCTGTAAGCTGTTGTCCACGGTTTGTTCAGGCTAGAGGCAACTTCCACCTCATTTTTTACACACCCCCAGTGCCACTGTCCCAGCCCACCCCAGATCAGAGCAAATAGCCATGTTCACATCACACCAACACAATCTGCCACTGACAAAAACGTCCCGAGAGGTTTCCAAAGCAAGAAAAGCAGAAAAGGTTCCAAACAGACTCACCGAGCTGCACGTGCCGCCTTCTTGCTCTCCAGACTCACGGGCACATTGAAGCGTTCAGCCCTCTTCTGCATTCTCTGGAGCAGGGAGAAGAAAAGAGCCAACTGAGGAAGAGCAAAGATTTGAAGCGTATGGAAAAGGACAATGCAGAAGGAGAGGCATGCAAACTCAACATAGGATAGGCTCATGCTCCAACGTGCCCTGCTAGATCAGCCATGTACAGTTTGGGAAGCGGAAAGCACACTTCCCCCTGCACCAGCAGGTAAAGGAAGAGATGCTGCAAGCATCTGCTACCAGTTTCTGCCAGCCCTCAGGAAGTCGCCCCATAACCTCTGGGAAGCACGCTTGAGAAAAAAGTTGTCTTATGGTTCTCATATGGGCCTAATAAAAAAAAAATATTATTTTCAGAAAAAAAGCTACAGCCAGTTGCAACAGCAGATAGCTTTTCTTCCTGGGCTCTATTTGCACTGGCCTGAAAGGAAAAGGTATTTCATTACTCTGCTACTCAGCGAGCATCTCTAGGAAAGGAGATGTGCCAAAGGAGAAGATGACCAGGGAGCTGACAGGGACAGATGACTATTTTAAGATGATACAAGGCTGCAACTGGGCTCACGGCTGGCGCGCCAAGTGTGCAGGCTACAATTCTGCACACCTCACCCAGAGAGCCCTTGTGCCAGAGGCAAAGGAGCAGCACTCCTGGCACCGACTACAAAGGGAGCGGCTGTGACTTCCCTCCTCGAGGCAGGAAGCAAGCAGTCGGCACAACCGGCTTCAGCTGATTTGCAAAAAGGAAGGCAAACAAGATTTCTTTTTTCCCCCCTAAGCACAAGGCCAAAGAAATATGCTAGACAAGAAGATGGGGGGTTGTTTGTTTTCAGGGAACTTATTTATTTGGCACAAGCCTTTTCACAAGAGACCAATGCTATTCATGCAGTTGGCTCAGCCTTACAAGTAGAGTTTGTCATTAGCAGTACAATTCAAGACGAAATTCATCTACATAGAAAGGACTCGGCCTGCTGCCCTTGCTGCAGGCAAGGCTTCCGTGGACCAAAGCAAACTGCCCAAGACTCAGAAAAGCTTGGAAACACTGGAAGTGCAAGGCTTTGCACCTACAAGTATTAAATCCCCTGAAAAGCTTAAGGGAAATATTTAGCATTTTATTATTACACAAGGGCACAAAAATGTGTTTGGTGTTTTAAAGGTTAGAGAAACAGATATTAGTTTAATGGAAACATTTACTTTAGCCAAAAACACAGTGAGGAGCGTAATAAACATTTGCATCAAAACATAGATGTTTAGAAGAGATGGATTAGGAACTACAGTTCACTCCTGATATTGTCAGGACTAAAGAATTTCTATTTCAACTGAGAAGATACATACTGAAGACTGGTAAAAACGTGTATTATTCAGGTCAAAGCATATTTCCTCATTTTTCCTCCGACACTTTGAAGAGTAAGAATACTCAAAAGAAACACCCAAACAGGCAGCTTTTAAAAGCACTCTCAACTACAAAAAGGCCATACTAGCTCAGAATAAAGGCTTCATCTACCTTAGCATCCTGTCTGACAGCGACCATAAGTAGATGTTAGAACAGCATTAAGATCAAAGCAAATAGGTGGTCTGCCTCCAGTATGCCTTCCCAACCTCAAGTAATCCACAGCTAATGACATCCTGAATTTTAAGCTGTCCTCACATTTGCATTCATTTAACCTTGATGGGCTTCTTTGCTATGAAACGGTCTCCTTGCTTTCTGAATTCATCTGTACTTCTGGCATCTAAACATCCTACTACAATGGCCTCCTACTATGCATTATATGAAAAAAATATCCCTTTTTATCTTCAAACATCTAGATCATAATTCTACTGAGACTGATTCACATTCATCAAAGAAGTGGTTTCCCTATGAACAGGTTTGGCAAAATTTGGAAAAAAAGAAAGACTATAACTGTAATTTCAGTAAATTTGCTTAAGGAGCTCTTCAAACAACTATTGCCAAGAGCAGCCCCCCAAAGCACGGGCAACATCACTCCTTCAGCAACACTCCCAGTTCATATCAGGTTCTGTCTCTCTCTCCATTACTCCTTTAGCTGAGGTCATAATCCTCCGTTTGCGACATCACCCCTGGTTGCTGTGGAAATGATCGTGTCACAAACAGAAGATTAAAACTCCAAAGTAGTGGGTGAACAGCAGGGAGACAAGAATCATGTTTTCATACCAATTCCTTTCTTATGGAGCTTGAGTGAAAAAATAATGACAGAGGGGAAAATTAGAGAAACAGAATCAGATTCCTGAAACTCAAAGTTTTGCAAAGTTTTCCCAGAGGAATCAGCAGCTTCTAGGGTGTTTATTTTAAATAAGCCCAGCAAATATAAGTAACAAAGTTACAGAAGATAAAGATGAGATGATCTGCTAGCTCATATCAGTTCATCCCTAACTGATTATTCCCTGGAGCTTTGTAGTTTTACATGTCTGAAGCAACCGGGCTCGCAGCAATTCCCAGGGGACAGGGATATTCCACAGCCTGGTGAACTTTGCAGCGGAGCTTTTCATGTTAGCAACAGTAGGAAGGGAAATACAATTCATACACTAGAGCAATAACGGAGGCAGCTCTTCAAGTCTATCAACCTTTATAATCCAAACCAGAGGACGCTATGGGGCCAAGTCCATCTTTGTCTGCAATGGAATGACGTACCAGCAATGATTCAGCTTGTCTTTGCTAAGTTGGAAATATTGAGGTAGGGTCAATGGTGGTTGGTGGCAGAAAGAAACAGTAGTGATCAGCAAGGAAAGAGACATTAACAGACAATTGAGAGAAACATTCCTTAAGATCTAGTGTCAAAATGAAATGTGCCATGGGGTCAACACCCTGCTAGGTCAGCCTACAGCCAGTGACCGGTCATTAATATAAAATCAAGGAAAAATAAAGCAGGTTTACAATGGAAACACTGACAGTCTCAGCAACATGCAAAAGGGATTTTAAGTAAAATGAGAAAGGAAAACGACACATCAGAAAAGAAGATGAAGTGCAGAAGGAACCTTACCTCCATCTGTGATATTTCTGATGTTATTTTCACTACTTTCTTTTCTGTACTCCTAAAGACATTGGAAAAGAGATAAATCGGTCAGAACACGTCCCACTAGTTTCACATGCATGTCTCAAGGGGTGGGTACCAGGGTTCACCTCCTTGCCACCCATCCCTGGCAACAGAGCCACCATCATCATAACTGAGGGTCTGTGTTTAAAAAAAAAAACAACAGCCACAGGCCATCAACCCCCTTTATCAGGACAAGGAACATCTTCAAGTTTAGAGCCCAGATGCCAATGCTAAAGTGTAGTATGAAGACAGCGGAACTTATAATCAAGGTCTAGCATGCATTAGAGGCAGGAAATATGTGTCCTGGTGCAGGCACAGCCATGGATTCTCCACTAGCCTAATGAGCACCTTGAGCAGTCAGTCCACACTCTGAATTCCATTAGCAGCAACGGAAAGCAGGCTGGAAGCCCTAAAAGAGCTGAAGGCATAAGAACCATCCACAATACTCTCACCCATTCTCCACGCAGGCTTGGAGGCAGAATTAACTTTGCTTAAGGCAAGACAAACATTCTGCAATTCAAAGTGGGGTGCTGCAGATGCATCTCAAAACGCTGGGTGGATATTGCAGCAAGAGGCCACGTAGAGCAGATCTACACGCCCAGGAATAACCTACGGCACATCTTAAGGCTCTTAACAGTAACATTCAGCTCTTGTTAGAAGCCAAAAGCCTCAACTGCATGCCCTGCAGAGCTTTATTCCTTTATGGCCTTCAAATACAAAGGATTGTTCTGTTCTAGTTCATGGGACAGCCACAGGCAACTTTCCCCAGGTCAGCACCAGCATCCCCAGCTCAGGCTCCATTTCAAACACACACTTCTTTAACAATGTGCAGCTGACAACAGCAGGACCAGTAAAAAGACTAAACGAAAATATAATGGAGTGGGCGTGCTCCAAAGTTTATGCTCCGAAAACAGAGCTGAGGCTCGAGGGAGAAAACAAAGGAGGAAGAGACAAAGTTCGGAAGTTCCCAGGCTAAATGAAATAGCATCATCCTCCTCCAAACAACTCCCATAAAACAGTGGGTCACAGCCAGCCTCATTAAGGTCTCCCATTTAGAAAAATGTGCTGCTTTTGTTCCAGATTCCTGGACAGGTTTCTCATTTTATGCCCTGAAAGGTAGTAATGGTTTAATGACACTTTCACAGGAAGCAATTCGGCTCGGGAGCTGGGACTTGTCGCTTGCCGGCGTTCCAGCGCAGCTCTGCGACTGGCAGGCACAGGACGCCCCCTCCTGCTCAAACGCCAGCACGGAGCCTGCGCTGTCCCAGCGCTGCAGATCCCCACAGCACTTGGGTTCATCTCTCACTTTCTGTGCCATTTAGGGGGAAGCACCCATGCAGGCCAACCACAGCAACAGCACACAGGGCCAAGGCTGAGACAAAGTGGTCCAAGCCACGCTTTCGCTTTAACGTGCACCCTGAAGGCACATACAAGCATGAGCTCATCTCAGTGCAAACCTCCAAAACAGGATTCTGCAAAGTTCACCACCGCTTTGCCTCAGGCACCCTCAGCAGCCTCCCCACGCGCACATAAGCGGAAGCCAAGAGGCATGCTCAGGGCCAGCATGATGCATAGGCACAAAATAAATGGGCTTCGGTGGCCCAAGGGAGGCTTCATAGCAACCCATCCACCCCCCCAGGCTCTTCATCACTCCAACGTCTCCTAGCAGGAAGTGTTTTCCTCACTCTCCTGTGGCCAAAGGCAGGCAAAAACAGACCCTTGCTGGCTACCTGCACTGGCTGCCAGAGAGTAAAACACGTTCTTGTAACACCATCAACAAGAGAAACCGTGCTTAAACGGAGAATTCAGGTCCCCCTTGCTGCAGGGACAGCAACCCCTTTAGCCTCAGGAGAGTCTCACCAAGCCTGGCAAAGGAGCCGGTGAGCATTTGGAGAAGGCAAAGTTCTCTCCCAGTCATACATCTCTTGTGTTACAGCTATTCCCCACAAGTTTGCTTTGGCCTATTCAGAAAGGATAGTTACACATCAGGCGATTTTACAGGAGGCTCTTCTACTTTGACGGGCGGCTCTACTGGCTTCTGCTCTTCTTCCTGCAAGTCAATGAGTTGAGAAGAGGTGAGATAATATTTCTCTATCCCTTTGCTGGCCAGAATAACAGAAAGGATGTTGTCAAGTCTTATGAATTCTCAGTGGTTTAAAAGACCTGTCTAGAACTCTGCATGCATATGTTTAGGAATTTCTGATTTATATATCGGAGCAGCTGGTAAAACACAGGAGCACCAGAAACAACAACTAGCCAGTTTCTAAACCTAAGTGACACTGCCTTTGGCCTGTGCTTTGCTTAAGCTGCTTTTTCAAACTTGAAGAAGGGCTTATATGCCTGGGAGCTTGTCTGTCTTCTTCCCCACTGTTGTTTAAGCTAGGCTAATAAGGCAAAGTTTGTATTAAGAAATGGTATTATGTGGTCACAGCCTCAGACTATCAGCGTTTGAACAATACCAGCTTTCAAGCATATAGACCCTTACTGTTTTTTTCCTAAGGCTAATCCCTTCATCTGAAAGCTTGGGCTTTGCAAAGTTTCAGGAATAATTTGAATGAAACATTCTCAAGTCTGTAATCAGAGCAAGCAGAGAATATGGAAGCTACACAGTGCACAATATCTAACGTGACTCTAGTAAGTCTCATTTCATTTCTCTTAAATACTTTCGGGGAAAGTGGTGAGAAAGCTTCCATGTACTTCAGGTATACTTTCAGGGTTACATATTTGCCAAGTAGCAAAAAGGTTGACACTAATGAGTAAAAGAAACAGTTTCTTCAGGCATTTTAAGCACTGAGCACTTTTCTACCTAAAAGGTCTCATCTCCACCTTTATCACAACAAACACCCCTTGGCTTTAAGGCTCACTTCCACAAGCAACCCAGCCAAGCCTGTACCTGCCCACTTTTAGGGCACAGGCTAGACAACGTTTTCTTATACGTATTCTTTCTTAAGAACACACACTGCAACTGACATTGGCTGTTAATGACAAAAACCATGAGGCTAATATAGCATGTAGCCTACTAAGCTTGGTTAGAACTATCAAATTCTGAAACAGCAGCCACGTACCGAGATTACACATTTTTCAAGGAATCCTCACAACAATACCACGCGTTCACATGCTAATGCGGCAACACTGAACCTTTGGCATAAAAATGGTTGGTTGGGACCCAACAACGTAGCATCAAATACCACCACACATGTGGGCGCTCATCCACTGCCGTACTGATTCATCACACACTATCTTGTCAACTTGTGCGGTGACATCTGACACAGCCACCTGGAGGTCATACGCCGCCAGGCAAGCCAGAAACCCCTGCACAAACTGCCAGTGTAATTCACCCGGAGGAAGAAGGTTTACCTCTATTTCTTCTCCCAGGACATCTTCTTCATTTGCCTCTTCTTCAGCTAATGGAAAAAAGACAGCAGAGATCATAATTGCAGTTGCAAATTATCTGAGAAGCCAAAGATTTACTTAAATTCTACTGTGAAAAATTCAGGAAACGACAAGGTGAGAAACAAAGACAGTTACAGTTAAGCATTCAAACAAGGCCTCTTCTTCCACGCTGGAGTTCCCTGCAAACACTTGCCTGGCCCAGCAGCAAAAACAATGCACTTATCTGCAAAATTCTCCAAGGTCAAAGCCCAGAACATCTCTCACCACCGATAAACCGAAAGCAATCCTGAGCAATAGCCACTGCTCATAACTTCAGAACGGAACCCATGAATGAGAAATATTGGGCCAAGAAAAGCAAAGCTGGCCCCCGCCCCCAGTCAACCTTGCCAGAAGGGTTCTGGAATTGAGACGCTGGCCACAGGCAACACACTCTACCTACCGTGCTCCTCGAGGTATGCCTGGAGCCTGTTGATCAGATCCTGCTTATTCCCTTTTGCTTCCAGGCCACGGGCGAGGCATTCTTGTTTCAATTCGGCCAGCTACGAAACAGAAGAAACTTCCAGTTAGCAAGCACAGTTCACTCACACGTGCAGAGGATACGTGAGCACACCACGAAGCAAATGACTCGAAAAATAATAATAAGGGAAGGCAGACAAGACAGTCTAACAGTTATATTCTCAGGAGCCAGTAAGACTCCCTCCCCATGTTAAATACCAGCCACGTGTCTCGATTCCCAGGTGTTGCCCTAGACAATCTAGTTAGCTCAGCAGACCCAAGGCAGGATTACTCTTTAGAGACTGCCGCGTGATAGCCCAGCCACTGCACGAACATAACCGCTTTGCGACCAAGCCCTTTTATCACCGAACGTAACGTTTTCACGCGTGCGGAGAGCGTTCGCGACGCTTCCAGCACCGGGCGGCCCCGAGGAAGGGCTGCTCACAACCCGGAGCTGCCTGCGATGCCCTGCAGGAGAGCGGGGCGCAACCCCAGGGCGCCCCACAGCTTCGGGCGGGGAGGGAACCCAGGGCCCCCCGCGCCCAGGGGGGAGCGAACATCTCAGCCCGACAGGAGGCAGCGGGTCCCCCCTAGGCCCCTGCCGGGCCAGGGGGAGGTCGGCGGGGGCCTCCCG